TCACACACATATACACCCCGCCGTGTCCAGCAGAATCATATAGCATGACAGGCAGGCATGGCGAGGAAGTGACCTCACAGCCAGAGGTATCCTGAATGCACAAAGGTTTATTGGTTTGGCGTTTTGCTGGGTTGGCTGAACAGAAAGGACTACTATAGTCGTGGCCGGTTGAGAAAATCCTCTCCAAAATAGGGATGGCTCTGTGTCGGGATCTTCCAGTTTGGAGAGTAATTGTTGGAAAGCAAGAAGCATTCATGGGGCATTCTGGTAGGGAAGAAACATTTGCAAGGTCCATCCTTGGAACTAGAACAGGGATAAGTAATAGTTGAATATACCTTTAGTCTCCCAGAATAGCATACCCAGCCACATTATTTTATTTTATTTTATTTTATTTTATTTTATTTTATTTTATATTATATTTATTCCTGGGGGCCAAATGCGGCCACACTTTGCCCACCCTTGGACTTTGTTGTTGTTGCTGTTGTTGTGCGCCTTCAACTCATTTCCTGCTGCTGGCAACCCTAAAGCGAACCTATCATGAAGTTTTTGTTTTGTTTTGTTTTGTTTTGTTTTGTTTTTTGCAGAGGGGCTTGCCATTGTCTTCCTCTGAGGCTGAGAGAGTGTGACTTGTCCAGGGTCACCCAGTGGATGGGTTTCCATGGCCGAGCCAGGATTCGAACCCTAACCTCCTAGTTCAATGCTCAAACCACTACATCACACTGGATCTCTCTTAGCAAGTCCATGATGAGAAAAGTTTAGAACAATAGTTCCCAAAGTTTGCTGCTCCAGGTGTTTTGGACTTCAGCTCCCAGAAGCCCCATCCAGCCTGGCCAGTGGTTGGGGATTCTGGGAGCTGAGGTCCAAAACATCTGGAGGACCAAAGTTTGGGAACGACTGAGCATCGGTGCCTTGAAGGGTTTTTCTTTTTTCCTCTTTCATCTTGTGCATCCCTTTCCAAACTTCTTTGAACCTCTACGAGGCTATTTTTGGAGAAACGTGGCTGCTTTTACGGCAGATTTTTGCAGAGGTCAAGCTGACATATTTCCAGCACATTCTCCCAAATAATCTGATTCTGTTATGATCTTGCATTCTCTGCTGGAGCTTCTGTTATTGCTATGCTTATTAGAGGAGTATGTAGAGAGATCTTGTAGCACCTTTGAGACTAACTACTCTCCTCCTGTTCCTGCTGAGTCAATGGAATGCAAATTCCTTTTGCCTTTGAAGTGTTTGCCGCAATGGAAGTAAGCTGAGGACAAAGGCGGAAAGCGGAGGAGAAAGAGGGAGAAACTGGGACATTTTAAAGGCTGAAGCCGGAAAAGTGGAACATAAGATGAATCAGGACTGTCCATTGCCCAATTGGGACAGTTGGATGGTATGGATTGCCTCAGAGGCTTCCAAAGATGACTCCGCACTGCAGAAATAATCCAGGTTGACACCACTTTAACTGCCATGGCTCAAAGCTAGGGAATTCTGGAAACTGTAGTTTTGTAAGACATTTAGCTCCCTCTATCAGAGAGCTTTGGTGTCACAACAGACTCCAAATCCCAGAATTCTGTATCTTTGAGCCGTGGCAGTTAAAGTGGTGCCAACCTGGATTATTTCTGCAGTGCGGATGTGACCCAAGGGAGACATTTGACCCTTGGAGGGGCAGAAAACGTCTAGGGAATCCAGAAGGTCCAAGGACCATGAAAACAGCCTCAGGTCCATACATGGCTAAGCTTTCTCCATAAGCTTTAAGCAATAGAGAGTTCCCGATTCCTAGTTGCATATGACTCCTTTAAACAGCCCCATTTTCTGTAAATTTCCAAGGGTGTCCTTGTATGTGTGGGGTGTGGGTTTAAATCTCCACCACATCAAATGCAAACAACTATTTTTCCCCTCCTACTCCCCAACTTTTGCCGCTGATGAGAAGAAAATAATCCACAGCTTGTCCCTCCTGCCTTCCCCGTCTCACGTCAACCTGAGCTGTTTCAACAATTATGGAAACTTGTGGGGAGCTGCAGAGGAGAGAAACAATCCAGGTTTGGTGTTCGAATCTGGGCATCGTGAAATGCAAAGCGAAAGGCGAGGCCTTGCCGCCCAGCCCTGACGGATCCGTTTTGGCTTCCTCCGACTTTGCTCTGAATGCCTTGATTTTTTGCATCTTCACAAGGACCACCTTCTAGTCGGCCCCGGAGAGACAAAGGTGGGCGAGGAGGGGTTAGCCAAAAATTATATATGGCCAAGGGAGTGAGGAACCGCAGAAAGTTTAATTATAGTTCTTGAGATACGCCAAGCCCCTGTGCAAGGTTTCACCTCCTCCTCGTTTGCCAGAAATAACCAGGCAAAGTCAAGCTAGCAGCAAAGCCAAGATTAAACAAACCAGAAAGTTGGAGGTACTCATTAAACACCTATGGCATGGCGCACCGTGGAAGACAAGCAGCCATTTCTTTGCAAGTCTGGCTTTTTTAAAATGCTGCTTTGATGGGAATGGGCTTTACCTGCGTGCTGCCCTACCTAAAGGCGCCTACACATGAAATTAAGCTTCCCCAAGTTGAAGCAAGCCTAGTTTACACTTTCAAACAGGGCAGTTAGAGAAACAGAGGACTGCAGACGTCCATCTTGCCCTGAAGACCAAAGAAGAGGTCAAAAGAGACACATATAATGTCCTCCAACTGTCCTGATTTGGCAGCCATTCCCGATTAATCCTCTGCCTTCCCACTTTTCCAGCTGCTTTTACAATGTCCCGGTTTCTCTCTCCTCCTCCCACTTTCCCCCCTTTTCCTCGCTTACCTCCATTGCTGCAAACAGAGTTCCAAATGCAAAAGGAATATGCACTCCATTGACTCAGCAAGAATGGGAGGAGAGTAGGATGCAGAATCTTGCCCTTCCCTGTTGGTTCATGCAAAAACAAACAGCTGCAACCTTTCCTATCTTGACCCCCGCTTTAATAACTTTTCCCACTTTAACCACACTATGGCAACACGTCTCAGTTTTCATCCTTGAAATGTTGGAGGGTCAGACACATGCCCCAGAAACCTGGTTTGAATCCTGACCTCACTGAGGTTGCATCCGCACTGCAGAAATAATCCAGATTGGCACCACTTTAACTGCCACGGCTCCATACAATGGCAATCAGGGATTGGGAATTTTGTAAGACAAAATGTCTTACAAAATTCCCAATCCCTGATTGCCATTGTATGGAGCCTTCTCTGTCAGAGAGTTCTGGTGCCTCACCAAAGTGCAATTCCCAGAATCCCATAGCATTAAACCAAGGCAGTTAAAGCGGTGTCAAACTGGATTATTTCTGCAGTGCGGATGCAGCCTGAGACCCCAAGTCTACTTCTTGCCAGCTGCCATGTTCATCCTATCAGTTTGGCCAGCATGGCATAGTGGTTTAAATGCTGAACTACGACTCTGGAGACCAGAGTTCGATTCCTCACTCAGCCATGAAACCAACTGGTTGACCTTGGACAAGTCACACTCTCTCAGCCTCAGGGAAAGACCATGGCAAACCTCCTC